ATAAAAAAAAAAAAATATATATATATATATATATACATATATGGGGGTTAGGGTATCATCAATATATATCATCAAGGGTAATTAATGGTAGCAGTGCATTAGCACTGTTGTTTCCTTTGGTGCTGATGAAGCCCTGGTTTAAGAAAGTTTAGATATCTTTCACATAACATGATGGTGGCTAAATGGATTAGCAAATCTTTGTCTCCTCTCCCTTACCTTCTGACTTTGCAAAAGAAGGCGCAGACTAATGCATTTATTTCCAGCATTTAGCAAACCCAGTTATGTGAAATATAATGGTGCTGTAGTTACATGTGATGAGCTTTCCTTTTAAAGTTAGTTTACCAGATATGCTTTTTGCTCAAGCACAGTTCCAAAATTAGAATATTGTGAAACAGCTTGATATTTTTCTGAAAAAAGAACTGGATTGTTGCCCTGTTGGCTACATGGATTACTGTGGTCTGCTTTAATAGAAAAAAGGAGTTGTATTTGGATAATAAAAGCCATGTGCCACAGATTTGATTTACATTTAGTGATGAATTCATATTTTTTGAAGTGCACTTCTGTGAAGTTAAAAGTATGTGTTCTCTTAACTGTGATTAAAAAATGTTGTATTACCATGACCTTATTGGAAAATGAAGTAAGACCTGGTAGATGGTGGAAACAGATGTATAATTATTAGTATTATTATAGCAATACATGTTATTTGTGTGGCACTTTTCCTGGGGAATACTGTTCAATCAGTCTGTGAGCAAAATGGAAACCATCATTTTCAAAGTGACAAGAAATTAATTCTTGAAATATTTCACTTTGTGTAAAGCATCTAGTTCACTTTCTGAAACGAGTGACAAAAAATATTGAACATTTTCTTAGTATTCTAATTTTTGGAGCCGAAGCTGAAGAAAATTCTAATGATACAATCATTGTCTTCTCTCTCCATGTGCTGACATGCCTCATGTCCTTTTGCTCGGCTTCTCATACAAGAGCCTGATGTCGACACGTTCATTACTGCAGTTGAGGGCACTGAGGTGGACCTGGCATGCTTCATTAAACCTGAGAGAGAACACATAAAGCGTTTTTATTGGACTATGAACGGCAAATTTCTCATTCAACATGACCATGTATGGTATTCTCCAGATGGCAGCTCATACATGTTTACTTATCTTTATTTGATCCTTTGGGAACTTAGACATACAATGAGGAAGGAGGAACAAATGGAAAATCAGCACAAGCTAATAACCAAACCATCAACCAATATTAGTTAACTTATTTCAGATGAACAGCATAGCAATACTCAAAAGACAAGTGAAAATATGGGATCCATATGATCCAAGTGGTTAAAGTCAATTAGTTGGGGCAGAATCTTTGTCTCTACAAAACATTTAAATATAACAAAATATACATCTTCCTTTCTTTTTAATCTATAAAACGGCATTGTTTCTTATTTAAGAGACTTCTAATCTTCTTTTATAACACATGTATTATGTTGGATGATCAGTATTTCTTTTCTATCTCCAGCAAACTGTCAGCGTAACGATGTACAAGTTTCCTAAATCAATGCAATTTAATGAAGAAGAGTTTCATCTTTATTTGAGACCAACTAGGAATGAAAGTGGGAAGTACCAGTGTTGGTAACTGGGTAAGAGTCATCAACTCATTTTGTTTGTTGTTTCCATTAACAACAATAACAAAATTGTTTCATGTCAACAACAAGAAGATGACAACTAAAACATGGTGAGATATCTGAGTTTATATAGACGAGACATTTTGGTGGTCTGTCAGACATTTAAAATGTTTGACATTTCTGCCTGTTGTGCTGGTTTTCTGTCAGTCTAAACATCCCACCTGGTTTTTCTTATCTTATCTAAGTAAACCTTTGATAAGGTTTACTTAGGCAGACCTAACTAGTCAGTAGCTGCATTTCCATTACAAATTTATGCACCTCTTTGTTTATATTCTACTTGTCAAAAAACATAATTTTGCCACTGTGGTCTTTCCATTAAATTAAATTGAATTAAAATAACACATGAATAAACTTATAAATCATTATAAATGATGGCAACGGCAGATGTAAACAGTTACATGAGATATATTCATAATTCAGCCGTGGTGCTTATTGTCTGTCAGCCATCAGAGGAGACATCGACGTCTTATTCAGGTGTTGGAGCAATAAACTTATTATAAACTTTGTGATGCTGTTTAATAGAGAAAAACAAACCTCCTCTTCCTCCTACTTCCTGTTTTCTTCTTTGTGTTTTCATCTGTTATAACATCTGGTTGTAAATCACATAACTTATGATGTGAAAACAGTGTTTCCATTTCAGTATAGCAAAATATATCTAATTTGATATGGACAAAAAAACCATCTCATCCTAATGCAACAAACAAAGAACGTTTTTCAAAATTAGTGTATTTCTATTAAGTAAATATATTTTTGTAATTTTGAATTACTTAACTCTTTGGTTAATGGAAACAAAGCTATTGACTTATAGCAGTGAGCATGTAGCAACAGTGAACATGACTTGGTAGCAATGACTAATGCCAAGCATGTATGTAACAGGAAGAAAACTCCAGCAAAACCTGAACTGGGCTCAACGTCATCAACATCTGCTGCAACTGAAAAGACCAAAACAATACAGCAATAAAAAAAACAGCAGCACTGATCTGAGAGTACATTCAGAGATTGTACCCCATCTTAATAAAAGAATCAAAAATAATATCTTAAATCAATTAATTTAAGATAAATTCATTTGTGTCTATAAAGTTTATCTACAAAGTCCTGGTTACACTGTTACGTTACTGCAGATTGGCATCTTATTTCCTGCATGATATTTCCAGGTCTCTTTCATTAGAACATCTTCCCTGTTCTAATGGTAAACTGGTGTGATGATAATTGCTATAAAACCTTACAAAATTGTTAAAATAATGTTCACTGACAACTTATTCCCCCCCCCATTTTTAGGGAGTCTGTCAGTCCTAAACTTGCATTACCAGAAAGCTACACACTAACTGTGGTTGGGCTACCCACTGACCCTGGTAATCTTCATTCCTTTAAAGTGGCAGAACTGACTACAGACATTCTCCCTCCTTCAGAAACAGTGTTTGACATAGAAGGGACAAATAAAAATGTCAGGGGGAGCTCTGTTATATTTTTGCTAGAGGCGACGACTGCTGCTGGGACTACAGAAAAACCTACTGATTATCTACCAGTTACTTTGGAAATGTCCACTCAGAAAATGAAAGGTGAGTATCTGAAGAGAACATGGCCCTTTCAGTGTGCTGTGATAGAACAGAACCAGTTGTTGACTGCCGTAAACAACCCATGAACAGAGATGAAAATAGGAATTTTAACAGATCGTTGCCTTTTCACACAGCTACAGAACCTGTTGAGGCATCCACTGTAGAACCAATCAGAACATCCCAAGAGATGGTGACCCTCCTTTCAGATCAGGTGAATGCTGTTGAAGCCATTGGATTCCCCACTGAGCTTCATGATCTACTGGAAGACTCCACCCAGCTGATTCAAGGTAGAATAATGGAATGAATGCATGTGGGTTTATTAGCTCCAACCTGGCCCTGCTGTCCAGTAAGATCATTTATGCATTTATCTGTAATTCTATAATAGGGGTAACATAAGCAATGTTTTATATTTAGCACTAACATATACCTGTATATATTACAGGAGGTTCTGCATCCACTCAAGCAATCAGAATGAGTGTAAACATGACTGTTTCCATAATATAGTATTTCTTAAAAAAAGTTGTCTCATTGTTCAACTTTCCATGTGCACAGGGTAAGTTGAATCATATCCCTAAAAACCAACCTTACCCCTCACACACACTTTCCATCCCTCCCCTCACTTAACTTCTTCTTTCAGAAATAAATTACTTTTTCACATCAAGTGTATTTAACTTGTGCACAATTCATGGGAACAATATTTTTTTTAATATAATTGTTACAAATTACAGTTAAAATTATTTCCAGTGTGTTTGAGAAGTGAACATTAACATTTGGAGAAATAAAGCTCTAGAACTTAAAATTGTTTCAGAATCATAGCTGAGCCACTGGCTTAACTTTCCCCAAAGCTCCATTTCAACTTTATTTGTGCCCACAGCTGAAATGCTCAGTGTTGTAGCTCATACATAGCACAACTGATACAAAAAACAAATCTTGAAATACTTTATTTGAAGGGGAGTGGGTGGGAGGGGGATGAATAAGACTGTCATGACACTGTCATAAACATGACATAACACCTGTCATGAACATGAATAAGTCTTCAAGAATATTTATGACTGTTGTCATAAAGCGTCATTCGGTAAATTGACACTTTTAATACAAAGTTGACATTATTCAAAATGTCTTTGATATGACAACTTGACATTAACCAAGAAATCATTACCTGATGTGATTTATTATGCTACTTCTTAGAACAAGTAGCATAAAAAATGGAACTTGATGTGAAACAAGTAACAGTTATGAATATGTCATTAAGTGTCATTAATATTAACTATTACCTCAAGTAAAGTGAAACTAGTAGCAACAATTACAAAGATGTAATTTAGTATTACAGTGTCAAATGCAATGCTAACAGAGTTACTGATATTAAGTCTTACCTCAAATGAAGTGAAACACACTGGACTACTTATAACTACCATCATAACTGTAGAACAAACCCTTTGTACATTGGAATAAAACAAAAGATAACTTGTTCTAAGATAACAGAAGGTTTAACGTCTGGTCAGTATACTGTTACTCTGAAATACTGATTGAAAAACTAAAACAGAATTACTTATTCTTTAACTTAAGAAAATAGGTTCTTTCAACAGTAACATTTTTTGCTTTGATTATGTCAGCCATCTCCTTTGTAATAGACTTCCTGTAATGCTCTGAAAACAGGAGCTCTTCTTGTCTTCATTTCCTGGAAGCAGCTCTTTGAAGATGTCCAGAAATGCTCAGAAATTGCAGCTGTTCTTGCAATAGTTAATCATGGCGAAAGCCTTTTCATGAATTCAAACTTGGTAAATTTCTTCTGGACATTCTCATAGTCGGTGATGACTCAATTCATTGTGGTCACTTAAAAAAAGAAAAACAAAAAACAATGTCATCATATTCCAGCATTTATTTAGATACCATTCCAAAAATGTCCGTTGCTGCACACTGTCAGAATGGTAGACTGGCAGACAAATGCCTGATTAACATGACTGGTTGTTATAAAGTGCAATACAATTATTTCTTAATACAGGGGGAATAATAACTGGAGCTGAACAAAATTATTCTGATCAAATATTTGTCTGGCAGAAGTTCAGACAGACTGCCACTGTTATTCGAATGCATCATTTAACATATAGTTTTAGGCACATGAATGCATCT